ATTTCACCATCTTAATTTCTATGTCCATGCATCAGCATTTTAAAAGCATCAACACAGATCTTTTATAAAACTCTTTTTAATGATTCTTATGGCACCGCATTTTTAACTGATGAAATGTGCTCCCCTTTCTGGTACATATTCCCACACCCATAATCACTATTATGGTACATTTACTAAATATGGCAAAAGTCTCAAGCAGATGGAGAGGTTGTGAGGATAGATGACAGAAGTTATATTAGTAAGACACACAGAGCAAACAGCACTGTTGGCACGGGTGGGGGAAATCTATTCTCATGTGCCACTTGTACAGTAGAAAACAACTGTACCTCATCTCTTAAAATTTTAAGAACATGTATTGCTGAATACAACTAATGGATTCTACCATTTTATTACAAAAATACTTGAGACTGTGCCTAACACTATCTCTACATCATGACATCCACTGTAATACTGTTTGAATCATACAGTAAGCCCACTAAGCTTTATGTTCCATATAGGCAGGGAATAAATCTTTTTTGTTCACTGCAATATACTCAGCACTATGAGCAATGCCTAGCACAGAGGAAGTGTTCAGAAAGATTTGTTGAGTGAATGAGTGGCTCGTGATGGAGATCTGAGGGTTGGTTTATTCCTGGACCTCTGTTGACATGTAGCAAGCCAGAAGTGAATTTTCCATTTGGGATGGCTAGCTTTTATTGAGTGCAGTGGCTGCACTGCACCCTTAGCTCTTGGGAGTGCTTTGTCAAATACACACTGCTGATCATCAGAGCCAGTGGCGGACGGATTTGAGCAATCAGAGCAAACCTATCATAAAACAAATGTGCTGCTGCTATGAAAGCAAGAAGAGGCATGCTTTAGAAGAGCAACCAGAGGTAAGCCAGATTTACTGTTTTTAGTTTCAGTATTACTAAACAAAAAACAAAAAAACAAAAAAACACCCCAGCATCAGTATACTTTTTTGCCTTGTTAGTATAAAAGATTTAATCTTCAGAGAAACAATTTAGGACTCTGGAATGTAAAATACCCATTTTTATCACAACGCACTCCAGATCATGGTGTGTAACATGGTCTATGTCACACATAGCTTGCCTTCAGTTCAAGGAAATTATGAAAGGAGAAAAACCTACTGCACTGAGGCTGTGACAAATACGACCTTTCAAAGGCTTGAAGTGACATTATATCAAAAAGACACATGAGGGCACTCTAATCAACCAGCAAGGAGAAACAGAAAAGAGTGAAATCAGGTTGACATTTGAACAATCACACTGTAATAGGTGTACCAAGCACCAGTAAAATTTTGAATGCTTGTAATTTACAGCAAGAAACTTTTTTTGTTTTGGACCCACATTCTACAGAGTCAAAAGGATTGTGCAACTCTGAAAATTGCAAAAAAATAATCCACTGCTCTAAGGTGAAGGTTAACCACACCCCTTGCTAATTGTTAATTGACCTTGGGGCAGGATTTGCCCCTTTCAAGCAGAGGTCTTCTACATTATCTACAACTGCACTTGATGTTCTATGTGTCCCTCATCCAGGAGTAGTGCATGAATTCATTTCTTTGCTCCATCTGTTTTCCCAGGAGTAATGGTGAGTTAAAAGTTTAAGCCAGTAGAAATCAAACAACAATTTTCATAAAGAAGTGTACACCATTGAAGAATGTATTTCCTGGCCTTCTCAAATTTTAAATTAAAAATTTGAGATTGTAAATACAAATACAGCATAAAATTTCCTCCATCAAAGTTAATAAGTATAGTATAATACAAACTTCAATGACTTTTCTTTTGGGCCTTTAATGAGAGAGTAACAAATATGCAAAAAGCCAAGGCTACTGAAGCAATCAGTCTCATTTACAAAGGATTATCATTAATCTGAAAGTCACATTCAAATTTGTGCCTCAGCAAAATCATAAATAATTCCATGTCATGGGTCAAATATGTTAAAATGGAACGTGTGGAAACTCTGATTGCTAAGGGATACTGTGGTTGCATGATGAATCCTTGTTGACTGAATAAGCTAGAAAAAGATTCTCTCTCTGGAAATACCAAGGCACTACACATTCTACATTATTGAACTTCTTCCAGCTTATTTACTCTAATCTCCATCCATTTGAACGACTAGATCATTCAAACTCATTTGCTGTCACTGTACTCAGTATTTTTTGTTACATGGTCTTTTATAAAGGACTCTGGTAAATTCTTATCTCCATCATTAGCTGAATTGGCCACCAGGGTATACCCAATTACGTTCAATCTGTACTAATAGAAGAACATCATCTAAAATGCGCCAATTTAGAAGATCTACTTCCAATTTTCTTATTCTTTTGAAAATGGTTCTAAGCTGGACATAGTGACACATAACCTGTAATCCCAGCAAGCACTCTGGAGAGAGGCATGAGGATCAGGAGTTTGAGGCCAGCCTGGCCTACAGAGAGAGAACCTTCCCCCCACCCCCCTTCTCCAAAACCAAAACAAAACAAAACCCAAAAGTGCTAGGCACTGTGCAGGGTGTTAATAGTCCCTGCCCTTGCTACACAACAGACTCTCTAGTTAGGGAGACATGGGTTCTGATCTCAGCTCTATCATTTTTAGTCTGTCTAACTTTAGCAAGTCACTTCACCGCTCAGAAACTCACATTAGATCAAAGGGTTAAATGAACACTGTACAACAAGTACCTAGGACACTGTCTGGCACACAGTGAGTGAGTGTTCTAAAAATGATTACTATTTTTTTTATTCCAAAGCTTATGGCTTACTGTAGTCTTAACTTCATCCCATAATCTTTTTGCAACAGTATTCACATATCTTGACAGTCTTTCAGAAATTATTCAACTACGATTTAGTTAGATCACACTATGTGTCAGACACTGGGAATATATAGTCTTTATGAGGGAAGACAGACATAAAATCAATTACAGATCCTACAAACAGAAAGTGTGCTGTGGAAGCGTGTAACAGGATACCTAACTCTAGGAAACCTTGAAGAAGAGCTATTTAAACAGAGATCTCCACTATATGAAGACATTAGCCAGGCAAAAGAGAATGTGGCAGGCAATAGAACATACTGAAATCCCAGAGGTAAAAGAAACAGGGCGAGTTCAAGAACTAGATGTGTGATATGCTTGGAGCAAAGAAAAAAAGGAGGTTACACAAGGATGTGAAAAGGTATTCTTCAAGGCCATGTCAACCAGTTAAGAATAAGACTTTATCCTAAGAGCAAAGAAAGCTACTAAGAGGGGTTGGGGGGGGGAGTACGGAGTTTAAAACAATGGAAACTTAAAATAACTGTGGGATACCCAATAGAGGATGGATTGGAGAGAGTCAAGACTGAATGCAAGGAGACCATTTAAAAGGTCTTACTGAATTCCAAGTTCCAAGTGAAAAAAGCTCACACAAAAGCAGTATTAGTGAGAATGGAGAAAAGCAAATCTACTCAAGAAATGTTCCTTGAGGAAGCAGTATCAAAAAGATGTGGTCATAGGTTGTACATGGGAAAGATAGCTTAGAAAGTCCTAATATCATATAAACAAGAATTTGTATTTCTTTCATGGTATCATTTTTTCCCCCAGCTCTGGGGATCAAATCCAGCACCTTGGGAATGCTAGTAAAGCACACTAGCACTGGGCAACATCCCCAGCCCCTGTGATACAAATTTAAAAAGCAGCCTACCTCCTAGTCCTGAAGCACTACACAAGTTAAATTTTTTAGGTCATGAGAAGATTTATTCTAACCCCCTGGGATTTATTCAAACCCACAACACCCAAGTCCTACTTACTGAGCAACAATGCTTTTGCAACCACTTTGGTATGTTGATGGGAACTCTGCATTACAGATCATCTATCTTTGCACTGCCAGTTAGTTTTAGTATGTAATACATGGTTTGAAAGAAAAGAGGGAGGGAATATAACACTTCCTTTTCCTCTGAGGTATCTTTTGGTTCTAAAATCAAATGATTTTTTTTCCCCTTCCATATTTCCACATCTCTAAATAAGTAGGAGGATTTCATGAGGCAAGGTGTATGTAAAGCAAACCAATTTCTCTGATATCCTCACAAATAAACTGTTACTGAAAAACCTTTCACACTTCCCTGCCTTCTTAAATTGAGCATATCCAACATGCTCAATTTTTTTTGTGGACATTTTTGTTTAGCAACTACTGAAAAATCCTGACAATAACATGCTGCAACAGGATTTTAAAAGAGAAATTTTTTGAGAAACTGCATTTCACCCCTGCTTTCTACTCCAATTATGCCACTAATTCAATAAAGTGGGAATAAACTAACTTCCTAGAACTGTGTGCATAATCAGAGTAAAAACTGAAAACAAAGGCCTGAGAAGTTTTCCTGTAAGTCCAGTGCTTGAGCTTTGAGCTGCAAAGACTTCTCTAGGGACACTGAAATGGCCCCATCTCCCCTCAGATCTCATGCAGTCCCAACAGCCCCAAACAGGAATGCCTTAGCACGTCCTCTCTGCCCATTCAAATCCGAGGCAGGGTTTTGGACTCATATTCAAGATCACACCTTGGCCACGGCTTTCTCTGAATTCCAAGGGCAGGCAGGAGTGTGTTAACAGGAAACTTTAACGAGTGCCCGATATAATAAAGTCCAATATCTTCTACTCTCGGTTCAAGTCAAATCAACAGCAGGGAAATACTCAAGTGCCTACTTTCTAGAGAAAGAAGTTACCCTACTAGAACACTCACGCGTTAGCTGAGAAGACTACACCTAGTTCGGAGCCTAACCTTAGCTTGTAGATGAAGAAATGTGAGTCAACCTCGTGTTTAACCAAAGGGATCCGCCGAGGAGTGATGAAAAGACTCTGACAGTTGCGTGGAGGGGTTTGATAGGAGAGGGACTTCAAACCTCAACCCCCCCAAAGCAGCTTGCGTCCGTCCACCTCACTTTCCTCACTGCCACCCTTCCTCCGCAACAGTTCTCTGCCCAAGGTGGAAGTCCAAAACGATATGGCATCATTTATTGCCCTCTGCCCTAGAAGCCGAGACTCACCAGCTTCATATTGGACTTTTGGTGCTCCCAACTCAAGTCTTGGAAGCGTCTTCCGGTTCATTCGCCGCCGCCGGCCGCGGAGAACATCGCGGGACTTTCAGTCTTCCCACCTCATGCCCTTTTCGGGGCATCATGGAAAATGTAGTCCTCCTCCGGCATCATGGGAAATGTGGTAGTCTTTCCTTTTCCTCCTTTTCCTCACTGAACACCTTCTTCCGCCAGCTCAAATTCATCCCCGCCGCCAATTCATTCTCCCTCTCCACCCCAGCATGATATCATGTCCCCAATATGGGCCGGGCACCTATGGTATTCTGGGATATGTAGTCCCCACGGCACAGGTTCCCCTTTCCCCTCCTCCCTGTGGGAAGGCAGATGGGCGCGGGACTTGCCGGGAGCTGTAGTTCCCAGGGGTTCCTAGACACAGAGCGCCGCGCTTTTACTCCAGGGAGGCAGAAACTACAACTCCCAGGGACCCCTGGCGGCAGCAGGTGGGAACGGGGCTGTTGATATCAATATGGCGGTTGTCAGCCAGACAAAGACAGTCAGTCTGATGTGATTGAGACAAGGGAGGTTTTCAGGGGGAGACTGGGAGATTGGGGCCTCCCCTCCCCCTTCTGCTTTTCCAGCGCGGGCCTCGGGCCCTCTCCAGCCCCTCCCGACGGGCGCCCCGCACGGAAGATACCCCTCCCCCTCCCGCTTCCCTCCTCCCTACCTCAGCCCTTGGCGTTGGGACGTTGGGGAGGGGGCTGTGCCGGGCAGAGAGAACTCAGCCAGGATTCCGAGGTGAGTCAAGCGGTTTTGAAGCAGGAGTCTCTTTCCTCAGTTCTTTCTCTTCACTTTAAGAGAGGGAAAAAAATCGAGGGGTTTTGGGGAGAAAGTGAGTGGGCGCCAGGGACGGGTCTCTTAAGCAGTCGGATTGCGTGGAGGAAGGAAGCGGGGGGCTTCCGATGGGTGATCGAACGCGGGCTATGGGGTGGGGCGGTCATGCAAAGGCGTCGACTGCTCCCCAACTCTTGTGGTTTCCTGCGCTAATGGGCGGAAGGTTTGAATTTGGAGGTGGGGTCTCCTCGGAGTTGGGGAAGCTGCGAGGTGGTGGTGAGTGAGGTGTGTTGGTTTGTTGGGGTGTGTGACTGCGACGACCACTTGCGAGCTGGAATGTCCGTGGATGGGAAGTTAGGTAGCTGGGCACCGCTTTGCCTGGGCCTGGGCTGGGGCCGGGGCCGGGGCCGGGGCCGGGCAGCGCGCGCGAGTTCCGGGGCTGGACGTGCGGGTTTGGGGACGCGGTGCGGGGCTGCTGGGCTCTGCAACTCATTTGCGTGCGGCTGCCCGCGCTCACTCCGCCACCCGCCTCCGCCCCCTCCCCGGACCCGTGTCCATCCGGAACTCCGGGCGGGAGGACCGCGGGGATGGTGCGGGGCGGAGATGGGGCTGTCTGTGCCTCCCCAAGTCGGGAGATAGGTGGGAAAGGAAAAGTGTTTCCTAATATTTTATTCCGGAACTGAGTGTTTGTTACACGATTGGGGCTACTTTGAAAGCAGTCCTCCACCCACCACCCCGAAACAGTACGTAGAGGTATCTTGTCATCTTCGTGTTGAGTCGGTTAACAGCTACTTAAAAGTGGGGGGCATAGGCAGGGGGTCGGGAGTGCCGGATCGTGTAGACGTCTGTGGCTTCTAAAGAGACAGAATGTCTGTTGTGTGAGCTGAGATTAGGCGATTTATTTTCGTAAGTCGGGGAAACTGTTGGAAATTATTTGCGGGGAAGAGGGTGACGATGCGCTGAAAGGCGCTGTTGGTGTTTTTCTTGTACCCCACCCTGCTGTCTCCCATTTGCCTGAAAGCTGGGATAGAAGAGTGAGGAAGCGTTGGGTAGGTGAAGGGAAGAGTGCAGTTGGCAGCGAAGAGACTACGCTGTGTAAAGTTGAGTGATACAAAGTGATTGCTGTTTTTATTTAATCTGAAGCTTTTAAAAAACCTCATGTCATATAGGGTAGTGATGTGACTAGTTAATTTCTCTAGGATTCTGTAGGTATAGAAGTCCTTCCTTCCTTCCTTCCTTCCTTCCCTCCCTCCCTCCCTCCCTCCCTCCCTCCCTCCCTCCCTTCCTTCCTTCCTTCCTTCCTTCTCCTGATGGATAGAATACCTCCTGCGCTTTTTGATTTAGTTTGTACTAATATGGTTGTACTTTTTGTGGTTTTCTGTAAAATGCATCATTAACTGAAAAGGACCTGCATTTGTTTTACTTTGCAGTTATGCCACAGATAATTATCACATAAGTGCTTTGCATTAAACTTACTAAAATTGCACAACTACATAGCTAGATCTCGTTGGATTACATTTATAAGTCAAGTTAGGGAAATTTGACATTTTTTCCCCCAGTTTTCAATTGAAGTTAAAAAGGGAAGAGGAATGCGACATCTCTTGTTTCTTACAGTCTTTGATACGTAATAACGTTACACCAGGATAACTTAAAATCATGTATTTTGTGCTTCCTTCAATCTGAAAGACAAGATCTTCAATAACCCTGCTCCTCTGACAATTTTATAGTATCATAGACTTTAAAATAACTATAGGAATTGGCATAATTCCTATCTGAACTGTTGAGAATTTAATGTATTTACATATTGGTCCAGAACTTATCAGTTCTTAAATAGCCACTTATCAGTAAGGGACTTTAGATTCCATAAGAACTGAAAGTCACAGATACACTGTTTAATTTTATGGTAGGTTTTATTGCCTTCGATTTGAAATTTCTGCTGCTGGTCATTCACAGAGATAAGGTAACTATAAGCATGAGGTAGCATATATATTTAGATTAACCTGAATAGGAAAAACAACATGTCTTCTAATCTTCAATTTAAAATACAGACTATGTTGTTCCAAAGCAGAACTTTTGGTTTGCTAGAGACCAGGATATCTGGAATTACTTATTTTTAAGATTTATCTTAACCTAAAATACTACGTTGCAAAAACTGGAGAAAAAAATTCTATGTAAGTACATAATAGAGTGTTATTTGTATTTTTCTGAAACATGTTCTGATAATCAGGGAATTCTAAAATGTTTAATGATTATTTTAGAAATAAAAACTAAGATTCTTTTTTCATCTTTCCTCAGATTCTCTTTTTGTTTTCATCTCTGGAAATGCAAAGTTATTTACTGGAAAAAACATTCATTAAACTTTTTCTGACTACTAGTGAGTCACAATCATTACCTGTGAACCAGATATATTCTTTGTCTTCATTGGGCTGGTTCTGTTGCATTTTAAGCACTGGGACATTAAAGTGATATAAAGCCTTTACTGCAGGTTAAAGCATAAAACATTCTTGGCATGTGGAAGTCACACGGTTTACTGAAAAAGTAGAACACCAGGGCATTGGTGCCTGTCCAGCTTAAAATTTCATCCTGTAGCTCTAAAGTCACATTTATTTTAATGTGATTGCTTCTAAAGATGTTGTCTGTATTCTGGAAAGTTAAAAGCTGAGCTGTTTTTAACCAGTCTGTTGCTAGTTTTGCGTACTGCATATACCTAACACTGTGGTAACAAATGTTCATTAAGAAAAGGAGCCTTCAGCATTACACTGAATGAATGCCTTCGATGAGGTTTCATTTTCCCTGCTGGGCATTTTCAGTTGGCTAACCCATATCCTTAGTTAAAGCGTTAGTACAAGAAACTTAATAGTTTGTTAAGTTGTAAGGTATGTTGCAAAAAAAAAAAAAAAAAACAAAAAAACACCAAAACCTCTCAATGTTTGATTCTGGCAATTTTTGTTACAAGTGTTGATTGAAATGCTATTGCTTTTTTCAGTGTATGTGGAATTAATGCATCCTAATTTGTTCTTTTTGAGTCTCCTGTACATTAGATTCAGTCCATACCAAGTGTTATATTTCAGATTGCACCCCCGTTGCCAGTAAAAGCATGTTTGCCATTTCTGTTCATTTTACTGCATCTCTTTTGTTATTTGTGTGTGCAGTCCCTCATTCTTGAGTTATTTCTCTTGGAAATTGTAAATTTATCTTGGAATGGTATTTTTTATAAATGAAAGTTGGTGTACTACTTAACTTTTTAAAATGTGAACATTTACAGATAAACTTCAAAGTGCTCTGTGAAAATGTATTGAGTTTTGTTTGTTTGATTTCTGTACCTGCTTTACTTTTTTGGCTTCCAAAATCTTACTTTTGCTATTATTTGATTAGGCTTTTCTGTTAACTGCTGGCTTTTTCTTCTCAATTTAGTAGAACTTTGTAAAAGTGATAAATAGAAAGCACAGCTCATCTAGGTTGTCACAGATTATGTACAAATGCACTCACACATATGCACAGCATCTTTTTATCTCTTTATCTATCAGTCATTCAGCCATGAAGGCTTATCTGAGCCAGGAATAGCAGAAACCAAACAGTAGCCGCCAGTTTGTTCTGCCCACATTATAGAAACTTTGGAGATTTTTGGTGTCTTTATAAACCATTATTTTAGCAGATTCTGCCAAAACTCAATTCGCTCAAAATCTGAACTATTCGAAAGTTTTCTCAAAATAGTACTAAGTAATTAATTGGTGACTTAGATTCTTAGGTGCAGTTATCCTCCAGATGGCTTTTATTAGGCTTAGGACCCATTATAGGGGCAGAGTAAAGATTTTTCCAAGTGATTACTTTTAGTGAGGCTGGAGATGTACCTCAGTCAGTGAAAGAGTGCTTGGATCCTGAGCAACACACACACACACACACACACACACACACACCCTTTTAGTTAGCATCTAAACATAATCAAGTGCTTTAGATAACCATTTTCCCCCCTTGATTTTAGATAAAACAAGTTGAAAATTTACAATCACAGTGTCTTGAACACTTTCCAAGAGAGTTGTTACTGGAAATCCCTGGCTTTAGCACCATTTACCCTTACAGTGATAACAAGCTTGAAGGTACAGTAAGTTTTTCTAGCGGTTATTGTAATCTTAATGATGAAAAGTTTTATAGATCCCTAGGCTATAAAGACAGTGGTTTTTTGTTTTTTACATTTGTGAACAAAAGGAGAAAAGTAACAATCTGGGTTAGCTTTGGCATGATCAGTTAATGTTCTTGACTCTTAAGACAGGTGGCACCAGCCTCCTTCCTTTTAAGAGATAAATGATTCTAATCCATTCAAAGGGCACTTAGACTTTTCTTAAATTATGCTGAAAATATTTACTGAATTCTACATACTGCAGATATTTTCTCTGTAACTTTTCTGTTTTATTTGTGTCCAGTGATGGTCCATGTTTGGTGTATTGGAAATGTTTACTAACTCTAATCACCACATACATATTAAACAATTAGATATTAAACTTTAATGTCTGGAGTAACAGCTTTTACAAAGGGAAAGTCAAATGCTATGGCTATTGCTGAAATGAGGATATGACTTAATAGTGAATCTGTTTATCTGCCTTAAGATCTCCATAAGGTAGTAGTATTGTTAAAACCTAAAGCTCTTGCTGGGCCTGCTTTGTCAGGCCTTATGATCAGCCTCACTCCTCATTCAGTCATGAAAGCAAGTTAATTTTGCATTCTTTGTATGTATTCAATTCTTTTCATTCTATTGCTGTTCCCTTAATTTATTGTTTGTGACTTAATTACGTCATCTCTTAACTAATCTTGTTGCATTCAGTTTTTTTTTTCATTAGTCATTCAACACCTGTACCTGAGAAATTTTGCCACAATAAAATGTGAATTTGATTGTCAGACATACTTGTCCAGTAATCCTTCATTAGGTCTGCAGCCTTTCAGACAAACCCAAACTTTTAGTCATTCTG